GAAGAAGAAGAAGAAGAAGAAGAAGAAGAAGAAGAAGAAGAAGAAGAAGAGCCTAATAAGTAGATTACCAAATGCTTCTGTTTGATTGATTAAGAGAATTTATGGGAAATGGCTGCTTATATAATTTATAAACTTCAGTATAGTGTGCTATTATTCTCTGTGTCATGGAATGGTTTTTATATCTGTCTTGAGGTCTCTGGGAAATTCAACAAACCAGCAAGCGAAATATTCCTTCAATAGACAAATAGTTCCTCTCTGCTGTCAAGAGGTGATGACAAAATATTCACATTAATAATCAAAAATAAAGTTTGTGAGCCCAGTCTGTACTCATCCTGTCTTTAAATATAACCTTCTTTGATATTTAATGTTCATTTTCAGAGACATCTGTGACATAACCAAGTGACCATTGAATGTTCTGTTTTTCCCTTTGGTTCTCTCTATGAGTGATCTGGGGAGCACACAAAATTGTCCTGTGTTCATCTCAGCTGATAAAGCAAATTCATTCTAAGCATAAACACTGAAGTCAAGCTACTCAGAATTTTTTCATTTCTTTTCTTTCCTTGCCAAAAAATATATAAAAATAACTCAAACTATATAGTGTACTTTTTTATTAGATATTATAGATAGATAGATAGATAGATAGATAGATAGATAGATAGATAGATAGATAGATAGATAGATCCATCCCAAGGTCAGCAGTAAATCAAAGATTTTCTCTTCCTTTTTTCTTTTTTCTGGGGAGGTTTCAACATTGCCCTTGAATTTAAGATCTCCCGATTCAGGACCCTGCCTTCCAAATAGCAGGAATTACAGATGTACACCACCAGGCCCAACTCTAGTTGTTCCATTTATGAAAAATGAGAACATAAAGCAGGTTAGTAGAGCTTCCTGTGAGAAGCTGCTCTTGGAGCCAAGGAGCTTATGTATCCTCCACAGTGTACACCTGCAGGGTAAAGGTCTGTCCTTCTGTTGTCAAACTCAAATGTTTAGTGCTGCAAGCTCCAGTCTAGGAACATCCCAGCTAAAGAACAAGAAATGAACAACTAGTTGTATACTTTGGAGAGGCTTCCTGATCTATGGTGAAGTGATGAGGTCTCCTTCACATTCACATTATGCGGGAATAATACTATGGCCAGCAAAGTATGGAACTTCTCAACAAATAGGGTGTACTTTATGTCTAAAGTCTCAGTTTTGAATTCATCTTGGTTTTTCTTTAAAAGGAAGGAGAGGGTGGTGAAACTTCCTTTCAAACAAATGCACAAATTTTTGAAAGCCACAATTTGCTCTAATAACAAGGTTGAGGGTGGACCTGCCCCTGCTGTTAATGTGCTTATGCCCTCCTGCAGGGAGAAGACAGGCTAGCCATTCTGAGCACCACAGTGTGGCCACATGCTACCAAGCAATTAAGAACTGATTGTTTGTCTTCTTTGCAGGTGGGAAGGAAAGAATGAAAATGAAGTGGGCAGATGTAAGGAGACCGGCCAAGTCCATGTGACTGTGGATCTGAAGTACTACCGACCAACAGAAGTGGTAAGGACTCCCTCACCACCCAGTGTGTGACCACACTTGTCCAGCTGGCTGGGAAAATGCCCTCATGGAATGCCTGCTGCCAACCTTCAAAGCTCTGTTACACGCCTCTCTGGCATACTCCATAGGGCACTTCCCAAACGAGGACAAGGAGAATTAAGTTTGAGATACCATTCTCACCACAAAAATCCATTGCTCTGTAAAGGAAAACAAGATTAAAACACACCCAAGAAAATAATCGATTCCAGAAATGGAGATCATAGTTTGGACTATCTCATCTCATTGGTCTGGTCTGAGAAATGATCTCTGATAACCATAAGATGTCTGCTTTAACAAGCCCTAGATCTGAAGAGTTTCTAGGGACCAAGGCCATTTTTACCTGCCACCTGTCTTACTAGCCATGTGTGCACACTCATACAAATCACTAACATGCTTATGTGTCTGGTACAAAGTCATATGCACACGTCTGAAAGACCTCCCCCACACCATAAAGCTCTGCTCAAATACCATCCTATTCATGGATCCTTTCCCATGAACATTTTACTACCAATAGCCAATATTTTACTACCACCAATATTTCTTCCTTGTCTCTGTAATTACTTATACACTCTAGGATAGTGGTTTCCTTCCTAACGCTGATACCCTTTAATGCAGTTCCTCATATTGTGTTGACCACCCCCTAACCATAAAATTATTTTTATTGCTACTCCATAACTGCAATTTTGCTACTGTTATGAATCATAATGTAAATATTGGTATTTTTCAATGGTCTTAGACCACCCCTGTGAAAGGATCATTCGACACAACCCACTGCTTGAGAGCCGTTGCTTTAGGACCTGCTATAATCATTTGTTCTCATGTTTTCCTTCCTTTGCCAGATTCTAAATTCTTTGAGATTTGGGAGAGGAAAGGAAGACAAAAGTCTAGCAAGATAGTTGTTTAATACTGACTGACTGGCAGGTGGGCAGATAAACTTTTAAATAGAGAAGAACCCCTATTAGAAAATAATTTATGGGCCAGGAAAATGACCCAGTGGGTAAAGGTGCTTGATGCCAAGGCTAATGACCTGAATTTGCTCCTCAGAACCCACATGACAGAAGGAAAGAAACAACTCCTGAAAGTTGTCCTCTGACTTCCACAGGCATGTGTTGGACAGTATGCACACAGTGTATATGCATACACAATAATTGTTTAAAAAGGGAAATAGATTGTTAATGTCAATATTATATACTGTTACTGTTAATACAAAACATCTCCCTGTTCTAAGTTTATGTGAATGTATAATGATATCACTGCTTTGATATATCCATATTTATTATGATAATAAAACCAAAGGTGTCTAAAATGAATTTCTAAAGATGATGGAAAGCACTATCTTCAGGGAGAGAGGGTCAGGATGTGTACAGTGAGTGGCTGTGGAATTGCACCTTTAGAACCCTTTTTCTCTGGGTTGTGTGTCATACAAATTTCAGAGATTGGGAAAAGCCAGTGAAGGCAGATTGAAAGTGAAGTGTATGGTCATTGGCCACTCTTTAAAATGTGTTATTTTATGCTGGTCCCCCTCAAAAGAACTATGTTCGGCGTGTGCCTCTTACACACAAAAAGAAATCTGTACAAAGGAAGTGAACATTGGCTTAGGACAGGTAGTGCTGTGCAGTCCTGCATTGTCCCCCACAGGGCGTGGCCAGGCTTTGACACAGAGAATGATTGTTCTTAGCTAATGGTGAGTGGGTGTGCCTAGGAGAGGATGTGCCTGTCCCTGGGGGAGGAAGATACTAGCCGTGCTGCTGCTGACACAGCAAGGACCTCCTCTGCCAGTTGTTCCTCTGTCCTGAAGGGCTACAAGGGAATCATTTCTCTAAAACACTTCACAAGTCAAATTTCTTTTCTCACAAATAAAGACGATCACTTCGGAGTGGAAACTTCACCATACCAGCAGAAACTTGTGTTCCCACAACAGCTTAAACATGGCTCTTTCTCTGACACCAAAATAGTTTCAGAAACTAGGAAGTCATTAAGAATGGCTTGTCTGTCATTCTCATGTAGGCAAGGTGTGGGATTGATAAGGACCTAGAACAAAGGAATTCATAGAACAGGAAGAGGACCCTCTGACTAACAAGACTGTTCTTGAATCCCCACCGACCCCCTTTCCTGCCCTGCTACATCCCTTCCCTTCCCATTCTTTGTTCATTCAAATGCTATCATCATACCTGTTCTGCAACTCTCTTGACACCAGCGTTGTTTGAACATAAGAGTGGTGTCTGATTTCATATGCACGCTTGCTGCCCCCTTTCCTTTGGGTGACTCTCCCACAGATTCCCTTTACTACACTATAGAGTTATAGATCTTATTCTGTTTCATCTTTCTGAACCTCTCGGCCGCGTTTTCTTCATTCACTGCACTTCACCCTCATAGTCAATTGGGCATGCTTTTCTTCCACAGTGAAACTAAACTTTTAACCCCATTCCTCAAAACAAGTTCTCTGAAACTTGGATCAACCTGAAGTGACAGGCTTTCTGTGGAGTTGCCTCCAGGGTGACAGTGTTCTTCCAGTTGAAAGGTGACTGCGTTATTAACAAGCTTTTTCCAAATGTGGAGCCCTGTCAGCCATAAGAGTTGGTTTCCTTTGAGTCCTGAGAAGCACTCTGTCCCTCAGAGGCTGGCAGCTGGAACAGAGGAGACACATGAAATGAGCAGACTCTTAAGAGGGGCAGGAATACCAGTTCTTCTTTCAAAACAGCCCTCTTCTCTCAGTCTTTATCTGTCCTGCATGACCCAGAGACTCCTGTTAGCTTCTTTGTATTCTTTTCACAATTAGCAAACTTGTGAAACTCTGTTTTCATCAGCTTTGTCATCTGTCATCAAAGCTCTTCATCAATTACAGGTCCTCAAAGCCAAACATAACCTAGGCCTGGGGATGTAGCTCAGTGATAGATACTTGTCTAGCGTTCACAAGACCCTAGGTTCAATTACTAGCACCCCCCCCAAATAATTAACATTTTAATGCATTCGTTCATTTAATTTTTTAAAAGTATAGACTGTATTGTCTTATAGATAATTGGCTCTAGAATGAGCAAAACTAAACATAAAGAAAATTTAAAAACAAAGCAAGAAATAATAAGGACATACACACATACATAATGTATCAGAAAGGACAGTAATATCTTAAAGTAAGACTAACAGAAAATAGAGCATTATGTTGTTGTTTTTCTCAAAACATAAAAAGGGGGGGCTGGTCTTAAGAAGGCCCTTTCCTTAGCCAGGCGGTGGTGGCATAAGCCTTTAGTCACAGCACTCTAAAGGCAGAGGCAGGCCAATCTTTGTGAGTTCAAAACCACCCTCATCTACAGAAGAAGTTCCAGGACAGTCAAACAAAACCTTAAACTTTGCTTCTGTATTCGCATGAAGGGTATGGAAGGTTTTTCTTCTGGATCAAGGATTCCAGCTGTGATTAGAACTGAGTGGAGTCATGTCTTTTGGTACTCTACCTCTGAGTCTTTACGACTCCTTTGGATACTGAGGAGTTTTGCTACCACAGAAAGCTTAGGCCGGAAAATTAAGCTTTCCACTTCTCACTGCCTCTGAGTTCCAGAGAACGCGGTGATGGCAGTACAGATGCCTGAGTTCTATGATACTTGGGAACAATGCCTTGGGATGGATGATAGCTCATTGGTAAATCCCTTTTCTGCCTGTACAAAACCCGTTTCCATACCCAGACCTGTAAAACAAAAGAAAGTAAAACACTCATTACTTACATGAAATTTCCTTACATGCATTTAGGGACACAATGCACTCATTTCTGGTTCTTTTATTTTATTTTGTGTATGAGTGTTTTGTCTGAGTATATGTCTGTGTACAACATGGTGCCCATGAGGTCAGAAGACAAGGAAAAGTCTCCTGGAACAGGAATTAGTCAGTTGTGAGCTGCCATGTGGGTGCTAGGAGTCAAACCACAGAACCATCTCTGCAGCACCAGTATATTTATTTCTGAGAGAAAGCAATATTCCAAATGTGGGCCTTTGACCAGACTCTGCATTTCACACCTGTCAGTTAATAGATGTATATATAACCTTAGGTAACTTACTTAATTTCTCAGTGTTTCTCTTTCTTCATTCTTAAAAATAGGATTAATTATGAATTTTTTTTGAAAGAATTATTTGAGGATGAAAGGAGTCAATTATAGTATTTGAAAGGATAAATATCTAATATACTGGCTATATTCATTTCTTATTTACTCATTCCTTATATATTTACCCCATACTCCTAGCCTTTGATAATGCAATAATAAGCAGACTGATTTGCCCTCAATAAATGTGGTAGATATGCAAATGTCATCCATCAGTCTGAAAAAGTAGACTGTCACAATCAAAAACCTGTACAGGTCAATCCTAGGAATATAGAAAGGGTCATTCAGGCTTCAGTTACTCTCTCTCTCTCACTCTGTGTGTGTGTGTTTTATACAAAGTATAATTAAATTATATATTTAAATATCAAAGCTTGGTTTTTATGTTTTCATTTTATTTCTTAAGATTTAGTAGCTGTTCAGTGTTATAACCATATCAAAGAAATATGAGTAATTGATACTGACCTAATACTTAGGAAACCACAAAGATGTCTTCTTTGAAAAATTTTAAGTTGAAAAATTCCAAAAGGAGAGATTATCCAAGTGCCCATCCTCTTGTGCCACATTTTTTTTGTTTGGTTTGGTTTTTGGTTTTTTGTTTTTCTCTGTGCAGCAGTCCCTGGCTGTCCTGGAACTTATTCTTTAGACTAGGTTGGCCTCAAACTGAGATCCACCTGCCTCTATCTCCCAGGTTCTGGGATTAAAGGCGCATGTCACCACTGCCCGGCTTGTGCCAGAATTTTAAACGACATCAAATGGTCAGTCCAGTGCACAAAACGAAAAAAAAGTATTTGTTTTGTTTTCAGTGAAGCTAACTGAAATCTATTTTTCTTTTTCCTTTTTTTTCTACAGAGAACTTTAAGAAATGAGGTGAAGGACC